CGTACCAGTGTATGTTTATGTAGGGGGTATGTAATTATGTAGCTGTGTGTGTGTGTAACTGTGAGGTTCCTGTTTGTAACTGTGCTGCTCTAATTTTCACTCTCATATCGTCGGAAATGCTCGAGTAGAAGATGGATGTCCGTGCGTTGGAAAGGATTATTCGGATACCCACGGGGCAGTGACTTTATTTTGTGGCGAGTCACGACCGCCACGTCACAGTGTTGTTAAGCAGACATTTGTGGCTTTTTATAGGGAGAACGCTTGCCAGGCGAAAACCTACCACGTCCTGGAACACTGCCGCCGAACTATTTGCTGGAACGGGTCAAACCCGAACCACCCAGCTGGCACCACGAGGAGGTTGTTCGGCTAGCCAGCCAGGCACTGCTGTAACGCTAAACTACCCCGATTGGCTCTGTGATTGTACGCCGCAGATACAAATAACTGACACTGATCAACAAAAGCGCCTGTACGCCGATTATTCTCACCACAACTAGGGGCCGATATTATTTTAAGATTAGAATGGACATTGCCTTCTTTCAATTCTACTCGAAGCTTGGCCATTTCTAATTCAAGGTCTAATAAACGCTTCCGCTTATCCAAATCTGACTGTCTTTTTCTTAACTCGGCTATGGTCATTACAGTGGAGGAACGACGGAAAACAATGCTATGCTCAATCTTATGGCTTACATGTGAACCAGAGCATAAGGCACCATCATGATATTCATTAAATAAATAAATAAATAGTATATTCTCGGTAAAACGAGACACACCTGTAAAGGCGTGATTCAATATGCATACAAGCATAGCTTCTGTGGAATGTTAAAACATTTCGTTTTAATAAAAGTTATAAAAGAAAAGATGTTGTCCGTATGAGCGAGCATACTGTCAGGTAATGGTCAGACCCAGGGACATTACGGCGCTGTGGCGCGCAAAAATCCGTCAAAGCACAAGTTGGGGGTAATTTCGCCAGGTAGTGATTCGTGATCACAGGAGCCTAAACAAGGCTTTTTGCAACCAATAACCATTACGAGATAGAGATGATCTGTGCTCCAACAAGGCACTCTTCAAAGCAGAATTAGTTGCACAGCTTCGATGTAGAAGGTTGAGGACTGCGTCAGTGTGAAATGCTTAGCTGTGACTTTATTTTTTGGCGAGTCACATCCGCCACGTTGCAGTGTTCTTAAGCGGACATTTGTGGCATTTTATAGGGAGAACGCTTGCCAGGCGAAAACCCACCACGTCCTGGAACACGGCCGTAGCTTTCGTTGAACAGTAGTGCAAGTCGGTTATGCATCGTATAGACCGATTTTGCATTCTACTATTCGCAGTCGGTTGACAGCCATATTTCTTCGTTGGTTGGCCGAATGGCTTAGTTCTGATACGGCAGCAGTCGTTGAAGCTGGTCAATGATGCAAGATTCGAAGAGTCGAATGATAATGATGCAGGTGAGTAAACACATTGTTAATAGATGCCGGCTCTTCTATTATATTCATGTTCGGCTCGCAAACCATGTCCAGCTATCCTCGCTGGACTTGTCATGGGGTCGGTGAGTGAAGTTGTTTCTTGTGGCTGAATATGTCCTTAATAGGTAAAAACGCCATTATCCCCAAATTGGATTTGGGGTTCCTGCAAATGTAAGAAGTGTAACTGTTTCCGTAGCCAAGTGAAAATTCCATGGAAAACCATCGGAATGGCCACGTATACGTGCGCAACGCTGTCCGTGAACTGACATCAGAATAGCTCCAGGTGACTGGCGAATAGGAATGTTTGAGGCAGTGAAGGTAATCACGCCAGAGTTGTTTGTCTTCGATTGTGGAACGGGGGATCCATGTACATATATTCTTCCAGGTGAGTAAATTGTTCTGCATCATCCATGGCACTTTCAGAGGTAAAATTCCTTGAAGACATTGTCCGATGTGGTTGAGTGAGTTCCAATTCACTTCAAGACGTAAAGAACCGTCAAATATCGTGAATCCATTAGAAATCCAACGAAATGCTGTTGAGTACGGCACTCAAAACTTCAAACTTCACTCCAAACGAGGAAGCAGTATTGAGTACTGTAAGCGACAATTCGCTTTGAAGGGCCTTGAGCCAACGCGTATCCAGCCAGTCAAAGAACAAGAACACTGGACAAGATGACGGTATTATTAACAGACAATCAGGAAACAAATATAATACAAACCTCAATAGTTGCGCTTCCACTCAACGCAGTTTCAAAGGAATACAATCCGGCCCGAGACCAACAAGAAAGGGTTCAGATCGTCAATGCGATACGGAAAACAGAACACTGGTTATATAGGACAAGTGAAGTCCATGCGATTGGTCAAACACAGACCGGATGGTGGCCGGATAACGTGAAATGAGAGTGTGAGGGGCTGATAAGTACATTGCTCATAATCAGTGCGAGAATGCATGTAAACACCTGTATCGGGGGCACGTGCGGAGATATTTGAGGTGAAGGTCGTATTGATAACGCGGATAATTGAGGTGAAGATCGTGTTGAGAACGCGATAATTGAGTAAAAGTGCAGTGATAATGGCGAAGGTAAGGGAAGATAATGGCACTCGGAGTAGTCCACTCTCGATTGTAGACAGATGGCTGAGTTGAACACAAAGCATCAAGAATCCTTTTACAATGTGCTTAAATGAGTTGAGGCAAAGTTACACTCATTTATGAAGGTGTTACCGTGAGCTATCTGCAAGCATGTTTATCTGCACTGTAATGATAGGATCCGGCGTTGTTATGGTACATTAGTGGCTTTGATAACTGTGCTTTGTGTCTCTTCTTTTGACTTGTTGGCGCAACTTGTTCAAGCTGCTTTGCTTTGGAAGCTAAGTACAACGCTTGGATCCGTTGTTGTCATTTAGTGACTGCACCGCCGCATGGGGCTTTTCAGGCAGATAAGGTTCACGGGGTGAGTAGGTGCGTTGGGCGTTATTACATGCATCAATGGAGCTGATAGCTGCGGGTATATGCGCTTCAATGCTTCTGTGCAGGGAATATGGGAAGCTGCGTTTTTTCTGTAACAAGCCGGCTTTGCTTGCTATGTTTTGGGGCGTTTCCTGTCGTTGGATTGGTGTGAGTCGTTCCAAATCTTGTGATTTAATGCCGGTTTGGACTATTGGGACGGTGGTTGTCAGTAAGCAAGAAAACAACAGAATCAGGACTACAAGTATGCAGCTAACTGCTAGCTACTCTCTGTACAACCACGTAACCTCCCTCACAAATTTCGAACTGATAACCAGCTGTCGGTGCTGCATTAGGTGCTAACTAACCACGAACTCACGGCTGACGGGATAGTTACAAGAACACCCCTGGGTCGTAGTGATTATCTTACGCTACTCTTTGTCTATATTGTTTATGTGGAGTATCCTGAAAAGGATGAGGGTAAAGTGCGTACTGTCACGCACTACACCGTGATATCTAAGCTTGTTAAGGATAAGTCTTGGACTTTCTTAACCGACTGCCCCCCGATGTTGCCCGGGGAAACATTTATAAGACCCTTTAGCATAGTGGCAACGCAAGCATCCGAACAGAAGTCCTGGCAACCAAAAACAAGCGCAGGTCATTTCTGAGATGCAGAGCACGTAAACGTATATCCCGGAGGGATTGGGCATAGCTTGATGGCCAAGACTGCCCCAACGCCGAAACCTGGACTGCATATGTGACACATCGTAACTTCTGGTGAAACTGATCCGCGAAGACAAGGGCACTCATCAGCAAAAGTTAATGAAGCGATTCTGCACTAACCGCAAATTCCTGTATGGGCACGTTAACGGCCTTCGAAAGGTAAAGCGAGGGATTCCAGCGCTAGTCACGGCTGATGGGTGCACGCGATCAGCAATGGAAGCGGCTGATCTCCTACGGCTTCATTGCTCTTAAACATACCAGCGGGTAACGAGCCCGAACATTCGGCTTATTTCTATTACTCCACCATCTGGTCTAGAAAACATCACCTTCACTTCGGAAGCTGTGTTGCATCAGTTGTTGTCCTTGCGTATCCACAGTTCTCCCGGAGCCGGCAACCTCGGACCAAAGGCTCTACAGGCGGTAGCTTGTGATCTAGCAGAACCACTGGCTGTTTTCTGTCGACGATACCTAGAAGAGAACCGTATTCCACCAATACGGAATCGACGGTTCATCACTTCTATCCACAAAAGAGGTAGCCGCGCTGATCCTGCCAAATACCTTCCAGAAGTTCCACTTCCCATACTATCCAACTTGCTTGAAACGATCATCGCAGATGCGCTGATGCAATACCTGGAAAGTCACAAGTTAATAGCCCCAGAGCAACATGGTTTTTTTCAAAAGCATTCGTGCAGTACTAACTTATTACTTGCACGTAATAGCTGGACTGAAGCCGTTAATGATGGAATAGGCGTCGTGGTCATCTACCTGGACTTTTCAAAAGCTTGTGACAGCTTAGACCATCGCATTCTCTTTCAGAAGTTTTGGATTTTCTGCATTGTTGACCTAATCCTGAGTTGGATTTGCAGTTTCTTTTTACAAGAGCTACGGCTAGCGGTGAGAGTTTGAAAATCATTGTCTGATGCAATCGGTGTGGTTTGTGGGTTACCAAAAGGCTCGGGTCTTGAACCCTGTCTATCCTTGGTAATCATTAACGAACTAACGGGATCCTATACTTCCGCTTTCTATTTATCGCTGATGCTATCACGTTGTGGCGAAGGATCAGAGGACCGGACGACCATGAACGACTTCAGTGCGACCTTAACACGGTGTCGAAGGTCTCGGTACCAGCTGCCCTACCATTTAACGTAGACAAATGCCGCGTCGTGCCATTACATCATGGACACAGCTACGCCTAATTAATTGGGACATACGGACTGCAGCTTGGCTCCCAGGAACGTGCCCTTGGTTTGATCGTACAGAGGGCCCACGACTGTTTAAAACAGGCTGCGATAGCTGAGAAAAGCTGCAACCAGCACGTCGGCAGGCTACGGAGTGTATTCGGGAGGTGTGACCCATCAATCTTCCCAAGGATGCACAAAGCCTACGGACGCCAGCATGTTGTATACCATATCCAATTTTGGCAACCTTGGCTGAGGCCGGGGGGGGGGGGGGGGGGGCGGGGGGGGGGGGGGGGGGGGGGGGGGGGGGGGGGCGGGTGGGGGGGGGGGGGGGGGGGGGGGGGGGCGGGGGGGGGGGGCGGGGGGGGCGGGGGGGGGGGGGGGGGGGGGGGGGGGGGGGGGGGGGGGGCGGGGGGGGGGGGGGGGGGGGGGCGGGGGGGGGGGGGGGGGGGGGGGCGGGGGGGGGGGGGGGGGGCGGGGGGGGGGGGGGGGGGGGGGGGCGGGGGGGGGCGGGGGGGGGGGGGGGGGGCGGGGGGGGGGGGGGGGGGGGGGCGGGGGGGGGGGCGGGGGGCGGGGGGGCCGGGGGGGCGGCGGGGGGGGGGGGGGGGCGGGGGGGGGGGGGGGGGGGGGGGGGGGGCGGGCGGGGGGGGGGGGGGGGGGGGGGGGGGGGGGCGGGGGGGGCGGGGGGGGGGGGGGGGGCGGGGGGGGGGGGGGGGGGGGCGGGGGGGGGGGGGGGGGGGGGCGGGGGGGGGGGGGGGGGGGGGGGGGGGGGCGCGGGGGGGGGGGCGGGGGGGGGCGGGGGGCCGTGGGGCGGCGGGCGCGGCGGGCGGGGCGGGGGGGCGGGGGCGGGGGCGGGAGCGCGGGAGGCGGGGGGGGCTGGGCGGGCGGGGGTGGGGGGGCGGGGGAGGCGGGCGTGCGGGGGCGGGGGGGCGGGGGCGGGCGGTGGGGGGGGGCGGCGACGGGGCGCGGGCGGCGGGCGGGGCGGGCGGGGGGCGGGGGGGGGCGGGAGGCGCCGGGCGGGGGGGGGGAGGGGGGAGGCGGCGGGCGCGGAGGGGCGGGTGCGGGGGTGGGGGGGGGTGGGCGGCGTTGGCGCGAGGGTCGGGCCGCGGGCGGCGCGCTCCTCGGGCTCGCGACGGGTATGTTTTGTCGCGACTAGAAGCGATCCAGGACA